TTAGCTCAGACAATCATCCAGTTAAATTTTCGAACAAATAAACTTTGTTTATTCCTAGAAAAGCGATTTATTAAAAGTAAAATAAATACCACTGACAAGAAAGTTGATATCCCGTGTTGTGCTAGACAAATTTTCTCGCCAGAATCTATTTTATATATTTATAAATCTACCATTTTTCCTGGATTTGAATATTACTACCACATCTAGTCTAGTGCACCTGATATATAGATAGAGATCCTTGGAAAAGTCCAAAGAAGTACCTGCAATGTTACTGGTGCTGACCTGGCATCCCGGCTTCAGTTACTTTCCCACGGCCGCAATGGATCTTCCCCCTGCATTTTCTATAAATGTTTTAATAGTAATTGATAGGATGAACTTTTCTCTATGCGGTTACATTTTTTTAAATTGTTGTTTTCAAATCCTCCCCCCCCCACACACACACCAGATAAAAATATATATGGGAAGTATTTAGGACTTCATAGAGACAAGAGGTATTACGGTGACTGTAGTAAGAATGGTAAATCAGAATGTGTTGTTTTGGTGCAAGGAATACTGTGGAATGTTTGGGTCAGTAATTGTGGCTAGTTAAGTTTAAGGATAAAACAGAAGAAGACCAGCCTTCGCCATCCCCACCTTTTTGGCTTGGTGTTATATTTTTGTACTTTTACAAAACAAATATTACTTTCGTCTAAACGCAGTACTAGATTGGCGGCAAGGTCTCATCATTTTACAGTTGAAATGACTAGATGCAACCGTATGTTCTATGCTAGCAGTTTCTTCTATCACACTTCCCTCTTGATGAACTTTCTTCCGGCTTATTATTTCTGTTGTAACTTAAAGTTGGTAATGAACGATAATACTTAGGACATGAACAGCACATAAGAATCGCCAGCGGCACGTAGTCAACTGCTAGAAGTGAGTCAAGTGAATTCCACAATGAATCTCCAACTGCAGACCAACATACAGTATTTACTACTGTATTTATGTGAATGGGGACATACCCATTATCATCCGTAGGTATGCTACAACGGCTTTCCAGTCAAGTTTGATCATCAAAAAATTAAAATTCAATGTCAGTCTTTATCATCTGTCTTCTTAATTCTTGTTCTTTTATCTTTCTCTCTCGTATTTTCTTCATAGTCTCTTTTCTTCATAGTTTTTAATACTTGTATCTTAGTGTCTTTATTGCCTTGTCTGTGGGGAAATGGTTAAAAAAATGTAACCAGGAGAAAAAATCTCGAATACGTCAAATTACTGTGCTGCGTTTCGACGGCTTCCGTTATTAAATCGAGAAAAAATGTGAAACAAAATTTACATTCCTCTGCACACAACGATAACTTCATTATTTATTAACAGTACGACACTTTTTTCGTGTTGAATAACTCACGCTTAATGGGTAATAATAACAGTAACTGCATCCAAATATAGTGTTTGATAATCGCGTTTCGTGTAAAGGTGTTGATACTGAAGAGACTTATCAAGGGCTAAACGGCGTCAGGGCGATTTGCCGTATATTCGTGGGAATCAAGATATGACACACTCACACCTTGTGTCCATTACACTCTGTTTGCGTTGACACCCGTAACTAAATTATAGACAAAAATCTCTTTTTACTTACCTAGGTATACATACATCAAGAGAAGCAAAATTTGTATGCACTTAAGACCGCAAGGCATTCAGTTACAATCAACATCCGTGGGCACCTCGACGTGGCGTAATGGTTAGCAAGCTTGTCTTGCTAGAACAATTACGATTGAGTAGTGAGTTAGATCCTCACTGGGTACCCCCTACTTTCGGCCTTGTGCCACATCCAAGCTACACTTGGAAAATCACTTTGGGTACCTCGAGGTGGTGTAATGGTTAGCAAGCTTGTCTTGCTAGAACAATTACGATTGAGTAGTGAGTTAGATCCTCACTGGGTACCCCCTACTTTCGGCCTTGTGCCGCATCTAAGCTAAAATCAATATAATCAACATCCGTTTCCCTTCCAGTAAAACTTCTTTTTTTTCGAAGAACTTAATAAATACAACTAAGAGACAATTGGTTATCATGGCCCTTCACAACTTCCTGTTTATTGTTGCTCTAAGTAACTATTGCTCCTTCACCATCCCTATTTGTGTTTTCTGTCATCCACACAGACACTTTAAACAGGTTATTCACTGTTTTCCGCTTCTTTATCTTCAAGGTGCCATATCCAGTCAGGACGTGGATGATAGTGGCGCTTCACATCTTCCTATATTTTGTCGTTCTTAGTAGTATTTTAAGAACCATTTCCGCTCTCTGTCCTGGTATAAATTTAATTAAACTCCCCAGGTAGATTTCTCACTGTTTCTTTTGCATTCAACGTACCCTGTTTGTGTCAAACTATCTGTACCTTCCTTCTCACTTACGTTTCCCAGAAATTTCATCCCTCTCTTTCTGACTTTAAGTATAACTGGCCCCTTCTTTCCCCCAACTTTCCCTAAAACTCTCAGCTCCCCAAACCTGCAAGAGCCCTTTGGTGGTTAAAAAGGGAATAACCTTTTTCTAAAATCTCCTGAGCCGACCAAGCATAGAAATGAATGGGAACCAGTAATAAAGAGTTCCAGAGAAAAGTAATAATATCAAAGAAAATTGCAATATGAGCTCTGTTAAAAAAAAAAAAAAAAAAAAATGAAATGATATCAGCAAAAAACTGCAATATGAGCACTGGTAAAAATGGTGGCTGAAGATATTAAGTTTATAAGTCCCAGAAATTCATACACATATGTCCTTAAATGGAACAGTGGATAATAGCGTTGGTTAGATCCATTGACAAGATCCAAAGATTTGTGAGTTCAATACATGGTTAAGGCAGTGGAGAACTTGAATTAACAGGAGATACCTGACATCCATTAGACAGCAAGGCCTCTGATCAGGAGGTTTTGAGGATCGTAGAACCATCTCTTAATTTCTAGTACTCCCAGGTCAACCCTGACCCAGTGTGGTAATGACTGTTTGGGTCCAAGCTATGGGCAAAGAGTTAACCCCAAAACCTACCCGCATTCTGGGTAAGACGATAAATTACATCCGGCATCCTGGGTAAGAGGATAAACTACGTACAAAATAAGACCTCTGATCAGGAAGTTTTGATGAGCGTGGAACCACCTGTTAACTGCTGGTGTTCCCAGGACCACCATGATCAGCGTTGGTACTAACTCTTATGGTCCCAACTATCGGCAAATAATTAACCCCTAAACTGGGGCCAAAACATTATGAAAGTGTAAAAATAGGGTTTAATAATAACAATAATTTTTTTGAGGAAAAATTATTACCAGTAATATATTATTACCAACAATACATTTTTGGAAAAAATATTTCCAGCAATAAAAATAAAATAAAAATCTTGTCAGCATTAAATGACCCATTGAGGTTGATATGACGTAAAGCAAAACAAAACAAAAGAGACAACACCACTCCTACAATGCAAAGTGTTGGAAATTATTATTATTATTATTCGTTTTAAGCTTTTTTTCCAGGAATGTATATGGCTTCGGATAATGATATACCTTTTTATTCCATTTTTTTTTTACTTCCTTTCTGTACCTATGAGCAATATAGATGTTCCAGTCCTCTATTATAACTAGAGGCGATATGCTGTCTAAGTAGCCCACCACTAGCAGTGGTTTACCTACTTGACGCCGCTGGCGAGTATTCTATTTTGTTGATGTTATAAAGATTACCATTTCATTTCTAACCTCCGTTTTGGTTATTCCCAATTCAGTAACCTTTTCTAGGCTACAACTTTTTCTTTCCTTCTTTCTTTCTACACTCTCCTTTATTTTATTCCTTTTTTTTCTCAAAATTTCTTTCAATTTCTTTTTCCATTTCTTTCTATTTCTTTCATACATTATTTCTTTGTTTTTTGTTTTTCCTTCTTTATTTACCTTTTTCTTTACATTTCTTTTTTATTTCTTATTTCTTTACATTTCATTTCATCACCTTTCTTTAAAATTTATTTTTAAACATTATTTTATTTTTACATTTCTTTCTTTTTTCTCTCTTTTACTTTTTTTGTTATTATTCTTTTTACTTTTCTTTACATTTTCTCTTTCATTCATTTTCTTTCTTCATTTTGCCGTTCTTTCTTTCTTTCTCTTTCCATGTCCTCTTTTATTTCTTGTCTTCTATTTCTTTCTTTCTGTCTTTCTTTTTTCTTTCTTTCTTTCTTTCTTTTTCCATGACCTCTTTTATTTCTTGTCTTGTATTTCTTTCTTTCTTTCTTTCTTTCTTTCTTTCTTTTTCCATATCCTCTTTTATTTCTTGTCTTCTATTTCTTTCTTTCTTTCTTTTTTCTTTCTTTCTTTTTCCATGACCTCTTTTATTTCTTGTCTTCTATTTCCTTCTTTCTTTCTTTCTTTCTTTTCCATGTCCTCTTTTATTTCTTGTCTTCTATTTCTTTCTTTCTTTCTTTCTTTTTCCATGTCCTCTTTTATTTCTTGTCTTCTATTTCTTTCTTTCTTCTTTTCTTTACTATATTTACATTTCTGTCTTTCTTTTTATTCTTTTGTTTTTCTTCCTTTGTCTCCTTTTCCCCCTTTTACATCTTTTCACCTCCTCCTCTTCATTATTTTTTCCTTAGTCTTTATTTTTAATTTTTCATTCCCATTTTCCTTTTCGTTCTTTCTTTCAATTTTCGTTTTTGTACTTTTATTACTTTTCTCTCTTTCCATGTATTTCTTGCTTTTTTTCTTTCTTTTCACCTTATCCTTTCCCATTTCTTTTTTCTCCTTCTCATTTCTTTCTTTCTTTCTTTCTTTCTTTCTTTCTTTCTTTCTTTCTTTCTTTCTTTCTTTCTTTTATTTCTCCCCGTTGCCATTTTTGATAATTCTTTCTTTTTTCTTTGTTTCTGTCTTTCTATTGCCTGTGTTTTCATATCTTTCTTTCTTTCTTTCTTGCTTTCTTTCTTTCTTTTGTATTATTTTCTTTCTTTCTTTCTTTCTTTCTTTCTTTCTTTCTTTCTTTTCCCTGACATTTACCAGTTCTTTCTTTCTTTCTTTCTTTCTTTCTTTTCCCTGACATTTACCGGTTCTTTCTTTCTTTCTATTGCGTTTATTTTCATATCGTTCTTTCTTTCTTTCTTTCTTTCTTTCTTTCTTTCTTTCTTTCTTTCTATTGCTTTTATTTTCATATCGTTCTTTCCTTCTTTCTTTCTTTCTTCCTTCCTTCCTTTCTTTCTTTCTTTCTTTCTTTCTTTCTTTCTTTCTTTCTTTCTTTTCCCTGACATTTACCAGTTCTTTCTTTCTTTCTATTGCCTTTATTTTCATATCGTTCTTTCTTTCTTTCTTTCTTTCTTTCCATTGCCTTTATTTTCATATCTTTCTTTCTTTCTTTCTTTCTTTCTTTCTTTTGCTGTTATTTTTGTTTCTTTTTTCTTTGTTTCTTTGTTTCTTTCTTTCCCCGTTTCCATTTGGTTTTCCCAGCATCATGATATCTGTCATCGTCGCCGTCATTCATACAAATGCAAACGTTGCAAGTAAATTTTGAAATGTCTTCTTTTGTTTCATTCTCTCTTTTTTGGCTTGATTTTCCCGAGGTTATTACTGTCCTTATTACTGTTGTTATCGGCTGTCGAAGAAGCAATGATTGTTGTTCTTATGGTTGCCTTCCTTGTTGCCCTTGTTGTTAATGCCGTACGAGGTCGCTAATCCTCACCATTCTCATGACGGCGGTAGTTTCCCGCCAAACGCACTCATGTCAAATCTAAACAACATTTGGGCTTTATAGCGTATAAACACTGACAGATAGGCTTAATTGAAATTTGTTGGTCGAGTAGAAAAATGTGGAGATGGTTGAAGGATGTGGGGATGGAGTGAATATACGGAAAGGAAGAACAATAGAAAGTTTAATTGAGAGGGAGACAAATGCTATTAAGAAAGACTAAACAGAAAGATAGAGAACGGGAGAGAATATGAGCGGGAGAAGCTGGGGAAAAAAAAGAAATGTGATGTGAATTAAAGATAAAGAAGAAAAATTACATAGTATTAGAAGAAGAAGAAGAAGAAGAAGAAGAAGAAGAAGAAGACAACAGCAACAAAATTGAGAGTAGAGAAGATGAGAAAAAATTTCCAGAATATGAAAAAGAAAGGAATAAGACAATAAATAGACAGAAAAATAATGGGAGGAAGAGGAGGAGAAAGAAAGAAAGAAAGGAGGAGATGAAGAAAATGAGAAAAAAAAACCAATAAAAATGGAGCATATAAAAATAAAAAAAATAGAATGTAATATTGCTATTAGATTAGTCCTTATAGAAGAAGAAGAAGAAGAAGAAGAAGAAGAAGAAGAAGAAGAAGAAGAAGAAAATGGAGAGGAGAGGAGAAAAGAATTCCTGAATATGAGAAAGAGAGGAATAAGAAGAAAATAAATGGAAAGAAAGGAAAATAATGGGAGGAAGAGGAGGAGAAAGAAAGAAGGAGATGAAGAAAATGAGAAAAAGGTATAAAAATGGAGTATATAAAATTAAAAAAAATAGAATGTAATATTGCAATTAAGTTAGTCCTTATAGAAGAAGAAGAAGAAGAAGAAGAAGAAGAAGAAGAAGAAGAAGAATTAGAGGAAAAATAAAAGAAGGAGAGAAGAAAAAAGAAAACAAACAGTAGAAGAAAGAAAACAAGAGGGAAAGTGTCAAAAGAAGTAAAAAAAATAAGAAACGATTTAAATGATGAAAGGCCAACTAAAAACAAATGAATAAAAATGGAATTAACTTTGATGTTCTTTTGTTGTCTTTAAAACGTCTTTCTTTTTTGTTTGTGCATGTCTGAAGACATCACTCCGAGAGGAGTTCAATGCTGCAGAAAAGAAATACAAATAAATTAACAAAAAAAAAAAAAAAATCAAACTACTCAGGCAAGCGACGCGCTGATCTTAACTGCAACACGGGCCTGAAAGGTTTCCCCGGGGAGCGGAGCTGAATGGTAAGACGGTGGAGCATATGGAAGCTTAATGACATTTAAAGCGGCAATGGTCGGGGGCGACGGTAACGTAAATAACGGAGGATCTCGTTCTGTCGCAATTGCAAGAGCCTCAGTCTTTCACCGTTATGACGATGGCATTCTTAACGGGAGTCGATGTTCGGGTGCTGAAGGTTTTGTATTAAATGAGAGGTCCACTTTATAGGTGGGTAACTTCCAGACCCAGCCACGTGTATTCATCAGAAACATTTGAATCAAACAGGTTTTAACTTTCCGTATCGCTTCTTGTTGATGTCCACAACTAATAATAATATAAAGGGTCACTTATCCGTGTCTGGACGATAGAACGTTCAGGGTGACTTCTTTTCTTCCTTTTCTTTTTTTACTATGATTTTCATCCTGTATAAAGCGTAATAAAAAAACTTTGAAGGGATGCGGAAAACACACCAGAAGAGCATTTTTTTCTTTTCTTCGTTTATATCAGTTTGCCTCAAGCAAGGCAACAACATCACTATGATGCAAGAGGCTACTTGGAGTGAAACAGAATAGGATGACTTTGGAAGGAACATGAAAACCAATCCTAAACAAGAAACAAGGGATAAAAATCGACTCCTGTTCAAAAAACAGGAGAGGATTTTGAACCGGACGATAGGCGCACCTATTGATAAAAAAAAAAAAATAATAATAATAGTAAATAAAATTCAGAGTTTTAGGCGAAGACGTAAGAAGTATAGAATTGAAGTAGACTTTAGAAGGAACCGGAAACCCAATCCTAAAAAGGAAACAAGGATAAACCTCTATTCCTGTTCAAAAAACAAGGGAGAAGATGTTAGAAGTATAGAATTGAAGTAGACTTTAGAAGGAACCGGAAACGCAATCCTAAACAGGAAATACCGGATAAGCTTATACTCCTGTACGAAAGGCATGATAAATACGCATGAACAGTTTTGAGTTTAGATATGGGACATCAGGCTTCGGGACTATATCCTAGTAAGTAACTTTCCTGTTAAGCGGACTTCCATTAGCAGCAAGACAGACGGCCATGTTGTCAATACTACGACCGTATTGACAATTTTTAATATCCAATATTAAGAGTGATATTTTTAAAAAATAATCGACGTAGTTTCATTTAAAAATTTTCTTTCTTTTAAACTGTTTCATCAGAGATCGATAGATGTGAGCATATTGTGATAGATATATTAGAGAAGGCTGAGATAGATAGATAGATAGATAGATAGATTAGAAAAGGATGAGATAGATAGATAGATAGAATAGAAAAGACTGAGATAGATAGATAGATAGATAGATAGATAGATAGATAGATAGATAGCGTAAAGAAGGCCGAGATAGATAGATAGATGGATAGATAAGATCTGAATTGGAATAGAAATACATATAAGCAAACAAACTCTCTCTCTCTCTCTCTCTCTCTCTCTCTCTCTGTCACACACACCGCTTATAGATCGATATATCAGCATATTGTGATAGATAGATAGATAGATAGAAGAATAGAAAGTAGAAATAGATAAATATATGACCTGAGTCAGCTCGGGATCTAGAGACATTCTGAGAGAAAAAAATAGATATATAGAGAAAGAGAAATATCTGCAATCGAGATTTTTCCAGATATGGCTTTCCTTAAAGGACACTGGACACATGTATCATGACTTGAAAACTTGGCCCATGTATCATGACTTGGAAACTGGGCGCATGTATCATGATTGGAAACTGGGCCCATGTATCATGATTGGAAATTGGGCGCATCTATCATGACTTTGAAACTGGGCCCATGTATCATGATTGGAAACTGGGCGCATGTATCATGACTTGGAAACTGGGCCCATGTATCATGACTTGGAAACTGGATCAATGTATCATTATTAGAAACTGGGCGCAATCATCATGTCTTGGAAACTGAGCCCATGTATCATGATTGGAAGCTGGGCGCAATCATCATGTCTTTTGGAAACTGGGCCCATGTATTATGATTGGAAACTGCGCGCATGTATCATGATTTGGAAACTGGGCGCATGTATCATGATTGGAAACTGGGCGCATCTATCATGACTTGGAAACTGGGCGCATGTATCATGACTTGGAAAATGGGTCCATGTATCATGATTGGAAACTGGGCCCATGTATCATGACTTGGAATCTTGACCCATGTATCATTATTAGAAACTGGGCGCAATCATCATGTCTTGGAAACTGAGCCCATGTATCATGATTGGAAGCTGGGCGCAATCATCATGTCTTGGAAACTGGGCCCATGTATTATGATTGGAAACTGCGCGCATGTATCATGACTTGGAAACTGGACCCATGTACCATGATTGGAAACTGGGCGCATCTATCATGACTTGGAAACTGGGCGCATGTATCATGACTTGGAAAATGGGTCCATGTATCATGATTGGAAACTGGGCCCATGTATCATGACTTGGAATCTTGACCCATGTATCATTATTAGAAACTGGGCGCAATCATCATGTCTTGGAAACTGGGCCCATGTATGATGATTGGAAACTGGGCGCATCTATGATGATTGGAAACTGGGCCCATGTATGATGATTGGAAACTGGGCCCATGTATCATGATTGGAAATTGGGCGCATCTATCATGACTTTGAAACTGGGCCCATGCATCATGATTGGAAACTGGGCGCATGTATCATGATTGGAAACTGGGCGCATGTATCATGATTGGAAAATGGGCCCATGTATCATGATTGGAAACGGAGCGCATGTATCATGATTTGGAAACTGGGCCCATGTATCATGATTGGAAACTGGGCGCATGTATCATGATTGGAAACTGGGCGCATGTATCATGATTGGAAACGGAGCGCATGTATCATGATTTGGAAACTGGGCGCATGTATCATGATTGGAAACTGGGCGCATGTATCATGATTGGAAACTGGGCCCATGTATCATGATTGGAAACTGGGCGCATGTATCATGATTGGAAACTGGGCCCATGTATCATGATTGGAAACTTGGCGCATGTATGATGATTGGAAACTGGGCCCATGTATGATGATTGGAAACTGGGCCCATGTATGATGATTGGAAACTGGGCCCATGCATCATGATTGGAAACTGGGCGCATGTATCATGATTGGAAACTGGGCGCATGTATCATGATTGGAAACTGGGCGCATGTATCATGATTGGAAACTGGGCCCATGTATCATGATTGGAAACTGGGCCCATGTATGATGATTGGAAACTGGGCCCATGTATCATGATTGGAAACTGGGCCCATGTATCATGATTGGAAACTGGGCGCATGTATCATGATTGGAAACTGGGCGCATGTATCATGATTGGAAACTGGTTCAATGTATGATTGGAAACTGGTATCATTATGTATGATGATTGGAAACTGGGCCCATGTATCATGATTGGAAACTGGGCGCATGTATCATGATTGGAAACTGGGCCCATGTATGATGATTGGAAACTGGGCCGCATGCATGTATCATGATTGGAAACTGGGCCCATGTATCATGATTGGAAACTGGGCGCATGTATCATGATTGGAAACTGGGCGCATGTATCATGATTGGAAACTGGGCGCATGTATCATGATTGGAAACTGGGCGCATGTATCATGATTGGAAACTGGGCGCATGTATCATGATTGGAAACTGGGCGCATGTCATGATTGAAACTCATGTATGATGATTGGGAACTGGGCCCATGTATCATGATTGGAAACTGGGCGCATGTATCATGATTGGAAACTGGGCCCATGTATCATGATTGGAAACTGGGCGCATGTATCATGATTGGAAACTGGGCCCATGTATCATGATTGGAAACTGGGCGCATGTATGATGATTGGAAACTGGGCCATGTATCATGATTGGAAACTGGGCCTATGTATCATGATTGGAAACTGGGCGCATGTATCATGATTGGAAACTGGGCGCATGTATCATGATTGGAAACTGGGCCCATGTATCATGATTGGAAACTGGGCGCATGTATCATGATTGGAAACATGGGCTGGCATGTATCATGATTGGAAACTGGGCGCCCATGTATTGGAAACTGGATTTGAAACTGGGCGCATGTATCATGATTGGAAACTGGGCGCATGTATCATGATTGGAAACTGGGCGCATGTATCATGATTGGAAACTGGGCGCATGTATCATGATTGGAAACTGGGCCCATGTATCATGATTGGAAACTGGGCGCATGTATCATGATTGGAAACTGGGCGCATGTATCATGATTGGAAACTGGGCCCATGTATCATGATTGGAAACTGGGCGCATGTATCATGATGGAAACTGGGCGCATGTATCATGGTGGGCCCATGTATCATGATGTATCATGATTGGTAACTGGGCGCATGTATCATGATTGGAAACTGGGCCCATGTATCATGATTGGGCGAAATCATGGGAAACTGGGCCCCTGTATCATGATTGGAAACTGGGCGCATGTATCATGATTTGGAAACTGGGCCCATGTATCATGATTGGAAAAATCTGGGCCCATGTATCATGATTGGAAACTGGGCGCATGTATGTATCATGATTGGAAACTGGGCGCATGTATCATGATTGGAAACTGGGCCCATGTATCATGATTGGAAAATGGTCCATGTATCATTATTGGAACTGGGCGCAATCATCATGATTGGAAACTGGGCGCATGTATCATGATTGAAACTGGGCGCATCTATCATGATTGGAAACTGGGCGCATGTATCATGATTGGAAACTGGGCCCATGTATCATGATTGGAAACTGGGCCCATGTATCATGATTGGAAACTGGGCGCATGTATCATGATTGGAAACTGGGCCCATGTATCATGATTGGAAACTGGGCGCATGTATCATGATTGGAAACTGGGCGCATGTATCATGATTGGAAACTGGGCCCATGTATCATGATTGGAAACTGGGCGCATGTATCATGATTGGAAACTGGGCCCATGTATCATGATTGGAAACTGGGCGCATGTATCATGATTGGAAACTGGGCGCATGTATCATGATTGGAAACTGGGCCCATGTATCATGATTGGAAACTGGGCGCATGTATCATGATTGGAAACTGGGCGCATGTATCATGATTGGAAACTGGGCGCATGTATCATGATTGGAAACTGGGCGCATGTATCATGATTGGAAACTGGGCCCATGTATGATGATTGAAACTGGGCCCATGTATCATGATTGGAAACTGGGCCCATGTATCATGATTGGAAACTGGGCCCATGTATCATGATTGGAAACTGGGCGCATGTATCATGATTGGAAACTGGGCGCATGTATCATGATTGGAAACTGGGCGCATGTATCATGATTGGAAACTGGGCCCATGTATCATGATTGGAAACTGGGCGCATGTATCATGATTGGAAACTGGGCGCATGTATCATGATTGGAAACTGGGCGCATGTATCATGATTGGAAACTGGGCCCATGTATCATGATTGGAAACTGGGCCATGTATCATGATTGGAAACTGGGCCCATGTATCATGATTGGAAACTGGGCGCATGTATCATGATTGGAAACTGGGCCCATGTATCATGATTGGGAACTGGGCGCATGTATGATGATTGGAAACTGGGCCCATGTATCGTCATGATTGGAAACTGGGCGCATGTATCATGATTGGAAACTGGGCGCATGTATCATGATTTGGAAACTGGGCCCATGTATCATGATTGAAACTGGGCCCATGTATCATGATTGGAAACTGATTGGAAACCGCATGTATCATGATTGGAAACTGGGCCCATGTATCGATGATTGGAAACTGGGCGCATGTATGATGATTGGAAACTGGGCCCATGTATCATGATTGGAAACTGGGCGCATGTATCATGATTGGAAACTGGGCCCATGTATCATGATTGGAAACTGGGCCCATGTATCATGATTGGAAACTGGGCGCATGTATCATGATTGGAAACTGGGCGCATGTATCATGATTGGAAACTGGGCGCATGTATCATGATTGGAAACTGATTGGCGCATGTATCATGATTGGAAACTGGGCGCATGTATCATGATTGGAAACTGGGCGCATGTATCATGATTGGAAACTGGGCCCATGTATCATGATTGGAAACTGGGCGCATGTATCATGATTGGAAACTGGGCGCATGTATCATGATTGAAACTGGACCCATGTATCATGATTGGAAACTGGGCGCATGTATCATGATTGGAAACTGCATGTATCATGATTGGAAACTGGGCGCATGTATCATGATTGGAAACTGGGCGCATGTATCATGATTGGAAACTGGGCCCATGTATCATGATTGGAAACTGGGCCCATGTATCATGATTGAAACTGGGCGCATCATCATGATTGGAAACTGGGCGCATGTATCATGATTGGAAACTGGGCCCATGATTGGATCATGATTTGAAACTGGGCCCATGTATCATGATTGGAAACTGGGCGCATGTATCATGATTGGAAACTGGGCGCATGTATCATGATTGGAAACTGGGCCCATGTATCATGATTGGAAACTGGGCGCATGTATCATGATTGGAAACTGGCACAATCATCATGATTGGAAACTGGGCCCATGTATCATGATTGGAAACTGGGCCCATGTATCATGATTGGAAACTGGGCGCATGTATCATGATTGGAAACTGGGCGCATGTATCATGATTGGAAACTGGGCGCATGTATCATGATTGGAAACTGGGCCCATGTATCATGATTGGAAACTGGGCGCATGTATCATGATTGGAAACTGGGCGCATGTATCATGATTGGAAACTGGGCCCATGTATCATGATTGAAACTGGGCGCATGTATCATGATTGGTAACTGGGCCCATGTATCATGATTGGAAACTGGGCGCATGTATCATGATTTGGAAACTGGGCCCATGTATCATGATTGGAAACTGGGCGCATGTATCATGATTGGAAACTGGGCGCATGTATCATGATTGGAAACTGGGCCCAAGATGATATCATGATTGGAAACTGGGCGCATGTCGCGATTGATTGGAAATTGGGGCATGGGCATGATTTTGAAACTGGGCCATGTCATGATTGGAAACTGGGCCCATGTATCATGATTGGAAACTGGGCGCATGTATCATGATTGAAACTGGGCGCATGTATCATGATTGGAAACTGGGCGCATGTATCATGATTGGAAACTGGGCGCATGTATCATGATTGGAAACTGGGCCATGTATCATGATTGGAAACTGGGCGCATGTATCGCGATTGGAAACTGGGCGCATGTATCATGATTGGAAACTGGGCGCATGTATCATGATTGGAAACTGGGCCCATGTATCATGATTGGAAACTGGGCGCATCTATCATGATTTGGAAACTGGGCCCATGTATCATGATTGGAAACTGGGCCCATGTATCATGATTGGAAACTGGGCGCATGTATCATGATTGGAAACTGGGCGCATGTATCATGATTTGGAAACTGGGCGCATGTATCATGATTGGAAACTGGGCGCATGTATCATGATTGGAAACTGGGCGCATGTATCATGATTGGAAACTGGGCGCATGTATCATGATTGGAAACTGGGCGCATGTATCATGATTGGAAACTGGGCGCATGTATCATGATTGGAAACTGGGCGCATGTATCATGATTGGAAACTGGGCGCATGTATCATGATTGGAAACTGGGCCCATGTATCATGATTGGAAATGGGCCCATGTATCATGATTGGAAACTGGCGCATGTATCATGATTGGAAACTGGGCCCATGTATCATGATTGGAAATCTGGGCCCATGTATCATGATTGAAACTGGTCCCATGTATCATGATTGGAAACTGGGCCCATGTATCATGATTGGAAACTGGGCGCATGTATGATGATTGAAACTGGGCTGGGAAACTGGGCGCATGTATCATGATTGGAAACTGGGCGCATGTATCGTGATTGGAAACTGGGCCCATGTATCATGATTGGAAATGGGCGCATGTATCATGATTGGAAACTGGGCGCATGTATCATGATTGGAAACTGGGCGCATGTATGATTGGAAACTGGGCCCATGTATGATGATTGGAAACTGGGCCCATGTATCATGATTGGAAACTGGGCGCA